TGACACGCTGAGCAACACAGCGAAAAGCGGAGGCAAAATTTAGAGTGAAGAGCTAGCTCATGACGGCTGCCAAGACCATGACCACACTTGGGTACTTGTGGTGAGAACGAGTAATTGAGGCGAGGCGGAGTAGGGAGGAGTTCTGCCTTGTGTGCGTCCCTCCGTGTGTGCCTCTGGCGGAAAAGAACGGGTAAATTTTTTTTCTCTCTTCTCTTCGTCCTCTATTGGGCTTGGGGGTGGAAGCAAGGATGCCGTCGCAATAGCTAGCCGGGTAGGTAGGTAGTGCAGTTCGGGGGGGGATGATGCAAAGGGCCAAAAGGGAAGAGCCGTCAAATAGAAAACATGAGTAAAGTGGACTTTTTTGTTCCGAAGACGCCCCGTCTTCATAGGTCCTCGAACACTAGTCAAGGCCTTGGATCGGAGGTTTTTAGTAAATGCAATGGCGGGGCAAGGACACTGGGCGGGCGGAGGGGAAAGAGGAAGAGGGGAAACCATTCAGACGACGCGAGGTGCAGGGAGAGCTTCAATGCTGACTTGACTAGAGCAAGAATGACTGGTTATTCCTACTTTGGTCGTTGGACCATTGTTGGACGAGTCAGGCTTCTCAACTTTGATAAGCCTCTTGCAGCATTGGCTCTTGGACTGGCTCTGGCGTCCTGGCCATGGCGGCCCCCGCGTCCCTACACCTCTATTTGCCATCTTCTAGTTCTTGTCGCCGCATTGGCGACCGAACGAAGGGTTCAGGTAAGGTAGGTAGGTGAACATAGGTAGGGGAAGGATGGGACGAGGGGTACGCGGTGATTTGCATGTGCAAGCGAGTGCTGGATGGGGGGGTGTAACAGGGCTTTGGACTGATGCGTCGTATATTGCCCTCACTCACGACATGGTCCACGGAGCAAAGGTCAGCTTCAGGTATGCCTGCCACCGGCGCCTACACGAAGCGAACGTGTGCCGCCGGGGGGGGGGGGGGACCAGTCAAGTGAGCAAGCTCTTAGACCACGTTAGGATAGAGCGAGAATGGGAATGGGCTCAGTTGTTTGCAGCCTCGGACACTCGTCCGGGATCGTCTGGGGTCCCTCAGCGGTAGGCTGAAAGGGCCGTTGACGGCATCGGCCTCTGGCACTAGCCAAATGAGGAACGTCCTAACAGAAACCCATCGGGTGCAGGAAGTGAACAGGCGACAGGAAAGGCCCCTCGTTCGCCAGCCACCCCTCCATCGCCACGCTTTTGGGTAGTATGTGTCTATGTCCGACGATGACATGCCGCATGGAACGGGCAACCTTCAAAAAGAGAGGCTCCTTCCAGGGTCCAATGCGCGCCGCGGGGAAGATCGGGGGCACATATGGGAACAACAAGGTAATGTGACGGGGTGGTGACAGGTAATGAAAAGCGTCGATGACATATGAGGAGATACCTAGGGTCTCGAACACCCACCAAGCCTAGCTAGCGAGTGACGGAGACAGGAAACGGGACTTTCCATGGTTACGCAACTCCAACTTTGAAGAAGCAACCAGGCGAGAGGCAGGCAGGCCGGGGTAAAGTCCCATGTGTAAAGGGAAATAAAGGACGGATAACAAGCGAATTGGAAAGGCGTCACAACGCAAGCCGAACAGAGTGAGCGAGCAACCAAGCAAGCAAGCTAGCGCCACAGCTTCGACCGAGCACGCGGTGAAGCAGTTCAACCAACTGGCCGGTGCAGGATTCAAGGGGCATGGAGACAACATGAAATGGGTGCAAAAAGGGGTCCGAATAGGAGCAAAAGGTAGTGGGCAAAGAGGATGCAAAGGGTGTAGAGCACGGCAGACAGGCACAACGAAAAATTGCACATACCTAGAAGTCGAGCCTGACATCATCATGGCCTGTGTCGCTCGCTTCAACAGGTCGAAGCCGCCTGTGTTTGTGTTTGCATGTGCACCCTCGGAGCCGGACATGGTTGCTGGCTGGCGTCTTTGTGTGACGGACGGTGAAGGTGAAGGCCTAGTCGAGGCAGAGGCCTGAATCCTTGGTTGACGTCAAAACAGGCCCGTGATATGACCGCGATGCCGAGGGATTGGTGGGCGCGAGAGACGAGCGGCAGATGGGGGTGAGGTCTCGCGCAGGTGTGTGCGTGCGAGAGAGAGAGTGTGTGTGTGTGTGTGTGTGTGAGTGAGTGAGAATGCGGTGTGAGAGTTGTGAGTTTGGTTCGTGAGAGGAAGCGGTGGCGAGTAAGATGCGGCTGGCGTTGCGGTTGCGGTTTCGGTTGCGGGTGATGTGATTTTTCGGAGGTGAAATTGGAGACTTGGATTTTTTTTTTCTCTCTCGCTCTCTCACGCTGGAGGGGGTTGAGAAGTTGAGAGAGTGTGAAAGTGGGATGGAGAGTGAGAGAGAGCCGGACCACGCTATGAGATCGGGTTGCCTTCAGGTTGTGTGCGTGGGAGTGGAGGCGGCAGGGTGGAGGCGGTAGGGAGGGGGGCGGACAGGAGCCACGAGAGGGGAAGGCGTGACTGGGTCCAGTTGAGACTCGAGGTTTGTTGCTTCCTGCCTTTTTTGCCGTCCTTCTTTTTTGTAGGTACCTTTCCAGGTTGATGTCCACTGTCGGGTACACAACGCCGACTGGCCAGCTGTGGAGGCGAATAGAGGCACGCCGTGCAAGCTGAACTGAGTTGCGTCCTTCCAGTCAGTCACCGGTGGAGGGGAAAAGGAATGGTTCAATACCAGGCCGGATGGGACTCAGGAGGACAGAGCGGCTGCGAGCAGTGAGGTGTCTCCCGTTGGGTACGGATCACTGGTCGGTACTCTTGTAAGGTAAGGTTGGTGTAGGTAGGTACCTTGGGTGCTTGGGTATCGTGAGGTGTGAAAGTGGGTCAACAGTGACAGCGTAAGGGTAGCAACCTAGCCAGTGTCGAATGGACTGAGGTTATCCAAGCTAAGGCCCGATTGGAAGCCAGGGAGTCCGTGATGCTGGCGATGACAGCATCCAGTGAAAGCCAGAGGCTGGCCAGGGGGGCGGATCGTGAAGTGGCACCCGTACTGTGGTAGAATGTATGTACTGTAGTTCTCAACTCTGGAGGATACTACTCCGTCGAGGATTCCGGTTCGTGAGGGGAGAAAACGACCCGATTCTGGGAACCTGGAAAAATTGGGTTCGAGCCTTCAAGGGTGGAGACGGACGAGTCGAAATGAGGTCAAGCGTTGGAGAGTTGACCTTTGAGGTGAGGTGAGGTGGGAAGTTGGCCAGTGAGGCGCACCGAGTATTTCGTGGGGTAAATAATAAAGCTGACCTGAGTGAGTACCCAAGGTAGTCGTCGGATCGGTGAGATGAGGTGAGGTGAGGTAAAGAGGATGTGAGCATAAGCATGAGCGTGGGAGTCGGAACTCTGCGAATGGCAGGTTACAGGCGAGGAAGAGGAGGAGGTGAGGCGGAGTGAGGTAAAAGGCGTGGGAGGAAAGCGGCGACCCAGGCCCAAGAACCAAAGCCTGCTCTTTCTCTTTGAAAGTGGGGTCTTTGTGTGGAAGGAAGGTGCCTGTCACAGAGGCTGCGTCCTACCTTACTCGGTACTCGATGGATAAGGTAGCCAGCCACCTGGATACCTATGATTCCCAATGGTGACGAGAGTTGTTATATGGGAAAGCCCTGCCCTTTCTACCTTGAGTAGGTAGAGTTCAAGCAAAGAGGCCGGGAACACCGATCCATCTCTCACATGTACGGTCGACGATGTCAGGGAGAATAGTCACAATCTAAGGTGCCGGTGGAAGGTGCGATGCAGGTGCAAGGCAAAGGTACGGTATTAGCCTGCCGGCCAAAAGATAACCCCACATACAGTCAGAAGGGTAGGTATCTATCTTAATCAACGGTAGCACCTACATGCTTTTACAATACCTACCTTACCGAGTAGATGTGGGAGAAAGCTGGAGAAGAGAGTAAGTGAGGCAGAACCAAGACACCAAGACAATCAGATACCGCCACCATGTATGTGTGTGCGTGTGTGTGCTCACGTACATTAGTAGGTATGAAGAAAAAGTTCAAGAGACAGACTCCAAAGTACGGCCACTCCGTACAGAGCTCGGAATGCCGTTTTGGGGAGTTTGAGACTGTCCAAAGTGTTCTGGATTGCCTCCACAGCATTCCACAAATCAACGGCCAATCCGCCTGTGCTTACCGCGCTCTGTGCATCCAATTTGCGCCCCGGGAATAATCAGAATGCGACTGGCTGGATGACTGCATCTAGAGGTATCTGGTATTTGCCCTAGTGAGACTGCCCTGGTACATGCTCACATACTGTCGACGGAAAATATCTCGCGCTGCATCTCATCGACATGTATATGTTACAACTTACAGCCCCGAAGTCGATGCAGGCGCAGGTGCAGGTGCAGAGCAGATGCAGCAGGTGCACCTCCCAACTCGCATGTACCTCTTGCCTCTTGCATCCGCTTCCACTTGCACCTGTGCCTACTCTTTCACGGATTCCCTTTTTGGATTCGCTTCTCCTTCTACCTTACCTTATTGTACGTACTCGACTGCAGTAGTCATCCTCGCCTGTTTTTCGGTGCCCTCCGCCAGAAGCAACCATGAGACACGCTTTGTATCTTCCTCAGTTGACCTTGAGGTAGAACCTCAACGTGTCTGATTCATCTTCATCCTCAAAAGCTGACTTGGTAAGTCATTCCAAAAAGAAACGCCATGCCTTCCAAGTTATACTTAGGGTGCCATCGCGCCACACTTCGGCTAGGCTTGCTCCATGACAGGGGAGCATTGTTCCAGACGACCTTCTAGAACAGACCCAAGATCCAGAGAGGAATGACCAGCGCCTCTCGCGCCTTGAACCAACTGCCAACCGGAGCAGACTTGCCAGTCGTGCCAGGCTATCTAGATACCAATATCAAACATCATCTCCGAGCTGAGCGACACAGGTCATTGAGAGGAAAGCGCCGCATTGCTACGCTAAAGACTTTGGCCATGGATCTCTTGGGCGGGACCTAGCGCAGACCTGTGGGGGGCTTCGCCGGCTTCCCTCCGAGACCGCCGACCCAAGGGATCCTCCTCGGGAAACCAAAACGTCGACCCGCCGGCGGGCCATCCTCCTCCATTCGACAAGGGCAACCCGCGCAGCGAACCGCCGGGGTGGGTGCGCTGGTGGGTGGGCTTGACGGACGATGCGATTGACAAGGTGGATGAGTCAATCAAGTCTCGACGAACCAACTCCACATCGCCTCTTCCAGCGAAGCATTGGCTGCAACAGAACACCATGCCAAAGTACGGATACCTAAAGTATCTCGTGGTCTCGCCCTCTCTACGGATACTTGTCCCCATCCACGCGACTGGAATGTACAGCTACCAACACGGACAAATGACCCCCAAACACCACACCAACGACCTAGTTTTCTTATCACTTATCGATTCACCTCCCACGGCGATACCTGCACCTCAGTTGTGATCCATTAATTACCTCGCCGAGCCAAGAAGGGGGCTCTGCTTCGGCATGCCCACAGCCACTCAGCAGCTTCCATCGCCTTTGACGCTCCTCCATCTGCAACAACTCGAATACATGTACTAGCGGAATAAGACGTGACCCAGACCTGGATTATCTCTCGGGACAATCGCAGCTTCAGCCTTCATGATATCCGCCACTGTCTTCAGGCTTCCATATTGTCAGCTTTTGACGCTATACCACAATACAGGGCATAGAACCCCCGGTCCATTGCTCAAGTTCGCCTTCACAGCTCCCACATCTCTCGCTAAAACTGAAATTTCTACCGTCCACTGTGGGGTGGTATTTGGCACAAGATAACCTTCGTGGCAATGCGGCGGTCAGATAGCCTATTGACCGATGAGTTGCCAGTGACTCCTGTGTAAGCGCTGACCGGCATGCCAGTGTAGGCCATTGCTTCTCTTAGTGTGCTGATGGGCTCAGCTTCATCAATGATGAACCAAGACAGTTTCTCTCGATGGGGAACATTCATGGCATAGCAGACAAGGGGCAAGACTTACAGTACTCCAATGGGGAGCCCCGTTTGCAAGCTATGCCGACTTGCCTAAAGACAGGACATCATCAGCTGTTGCGGTATTCGAGGTAACCAAGCGCATACAATCGTCATAATGGCGAACACTTTCTACTTTGCTCTTCCCTCCTGACATCCACACTAAGCTAGTCAGTCAATCATTCACCTGATGTATCCGTCTTACCACACCGACATGTCTTCAACTATCGGTCAATTCCAAGCGTACTCCTAGGCCTTGTCTTGGAGGGGCCGGCTTCGTGGCGACGACTCGCAATTCCGCTTAGCCTGGCAGCCTGGCAGGGCATAACATGGTCCTCTATACCTGTCAACCAAGAACAATGTATCGGTACCGGAGCACCGCTCACTGCAACCATGCGCTGACGTCGCGGGATGTCCTCTGAATCCTGCTTCACATCCCAAGTGACTATTATGCGGGATTCCTGCGCCACAATTTAGTTGGCAGCACCTCAGTATCATGTCGAGACTTTAACCCCGACATTCCCCCACGCTTGGTACAAGATGATGGACGTCTAACGACAACCGTCAATCTTCCCCGCCGTTCAACTCCGGTGGAGAAGCCGTCCCGCCGCTACATTACACAAACCGGTCGACTCCACTACGTCAATTGCCTCTTTTTCGTCCTCCCTCCTTGACGTGGGCGTCCAACTTTGCACCCGTCTGATCCGACGTTGCCCAGCGTTCGAGGCATGGCGGGTTTGCGGCTTTTGGTCAACGAGTCATTAGGCTCGCTTCGCTTCATTGCCACGCCATGCAACCGCTACAAGACTAACCTCATGTCTTGCATCGCTGCCACGGTGTTCCCTAACCGCTATACAAGAACCGGCGGCAACACGAGCATGCTTGACCGAAAAAAAGTAGCGCATGCCTGAGCATTTGATGGGAAGTTGGCTAATAAGGTAACGGTTCCCCGGCACAGAATGTCACGTCTGATAGCCATCTACGGAGAAAAAGTCGACATGTTCCCAACAAGAATTGCTCAACCTATGTAGGAGTCACAAGTACATTGGCCAGTGCCAGGCACGACCGACGAACATGTCTGATCTCCTCTCCGTACTACTGTACACCCAAACTCACCTTCAAGTCTCTTCTACCGCGCGACCGCGCGTCTTTCACCAACGTTTCGCAACCACACAACGTCCTGAGCGATACCTACCTAGACTCGTCCGAAGAGACACTCGACCCGACCCGCTGGATCTGCACCTCGCCCATCCCGGTTTGTCAACCCAGCACAGTAAAAGGTTTCGTCCAAGCTGTGGCCCGAGTTCCTCATTGACTGACATTCCCCCCTCATCTCGGAACCCACATGCCGATGAACCTACGTGCTTCTTTGTACGACCCTTCGTGCATGAGAACACTCTTCGACTTTGCGAGACTCGCCATTCGGCATCAGCTTGCAATGGTCTACGTTCTTGGCATGTCAAGCAAGATTCCGTCGGCTTTGAACAGATCTACGATGCTTTTTTTGTTCTACAGGTTAGGTGAACTTAGGTTTGACGGACCCTCTCGTGCCGTTGGGGGGGAGCTTCATGCGTAAAGATGCAAGCTCGACGTTAATGCTCTCCGTGTTCTGCCGATGAGGGGTCGATGCCTTTTTTCCGGATTGCCATGTGCCAAAGCCGGATGATCTAGATCAATCTGAGAATGAGAGAAGGAGGAAACGAGAGCCGAGTACAAGGTTTGGATCGATACAGTTTCGATATGTCCCACCTTTCTTCCAATGGTAATACCGATATGCTCTGGGCGGTCAACGGCGGCTCCAGGCTGGGACGAGCCGCAAGCCTGCCGCTTCTGAGCCGCTTTCTTGGTATCTGGTCGATTGTGATGGACTCCAGTGAGAAGACTAGGCACAATCGATTTCTCTGGTTGCTCTACTACCACCACAGTAGGTTCAGCAGTTACATCCAGTCACATCAAGTCATGCATCATTCGAGCATGGCACACCACTCTGCTGAAAAGGTATCCTCATATACATCATCGAGGTGCCAGATCGTACATTCAACTCAAGGTCACTCTTGTGTGGTGGTTTTTTTCCGGCTTTACAGGCGCAAAAGATCGACCTTAACGGGATGAGGCTTTCAAGGGAAATCACACGATACGGTACAAGGCCACTCTTATATAACGGGGCTTTAGAACTTAACAGTCTCCCATTCTCATTATCTTCGTAATTGCCTGAGCATCTATCATCTATGATGTACCTTCTCGCAATCTCGCGAGAGAATTTCTAATCGTGCCCCAGTCTCTTTCCTGTTCATATCCCCAACAGATGTACCGCTGACCTAGCAATGATCGGTATAGGAGTTAGAGAAGAAAACTCTCTGAACGAAGGGACAGTTCCCCCCCCCCCCCTCTTCCCCCATGAGAAATCTCCAGGATTCTCTTCACGTGGGATCCTGTTCTGTAGTCCCGTCTAATGCCGTAACGCCTTTGGGTACACCGTGCGCTTCCGATAAACAAGACATTGTTCCTCGTGCCCCTTTTTCTTCTCCTGTATCTAACATAATGCAACGGTGGAGAAGGGGTATCTCTCTAAACGAACGCTCGATCTGATGCTTGGATCAAAGTTCGTAAGTCGTAAGTGGGAACTCTTTTGTCCCCGGTGGGCAGTATACATCGGTGCCCATATGTACGATGCTCTTCTCTGCTCTTTCTCTTCCTCTGCGCGCCGTTGGCTGTGCATGTGTGTATGTATATTTCACATACTCACTCACCACCACGATTCGGTCACAACATAACCTGGGTAATAGGCCTCGTTTGCTTCTCCTTCCAACTCGCAAGCGGGACTTTCACCCAGACGCCATTACTCGCTTTCATCCACGTGAGATTCCGCGTCGAGATGAGGATCCTCGGCTTCAGCTTGGGGTTGGCGTTCGCCGCCGCCGCCGCAGAGAAGGCGGAGAAGGGGGATACGCGGGCCGCGTGGAGTGCGACTTGTTGGTTGAGCCAGTGGTCGACGCGGGCGGCGGTGGCGTAGAGGGATGCGAATCCTGAGGGGTAGGTTCTGACTGGTGCCGTTGCTGGCGCCTCTGGGGTGGGCGTCTCTGAGACTGTTGACTCTGTTGACTCCGTGTCTGTTGTCGATAGGCTTCCTGCTGCGGCTGGGTATACTGGGGTCCTGGGCTCAGGAGACTGACGGGAGCCCGCAACGTCTTGGTGGCGGTGGAGTTTCCGGCGGCGGCTGGCGGCGGAGGCTGAAGACGAGGACGACGAGGCCTTGAGCTTGAGCTTGATCGCCTTTGGCTTGGTGCCGGGGTTCGAGGTGGTTGTGCCTGTTGTCGTGGGCGGGGTGAGGATGGGCTTGGAGGGCAAGAGTCTGATTTTGGTGATGGGCTTGAGGTTGGAGGCGTTGGTGTTTGGTGTGAGGATGTTGGCGCCGGCGCCGGCACCGGTGGATGGGGTTTGGGGGTTGGCCATTGTGAAGTCTTGTAGTTGAGGTGTTTGATGTAGTGTAAGTGCTCCCTTTGGCCTGGATTGGCCCCTTCGATATGGTGAAGTTGGTTGGTTGGACTTTGAGGCCGAGGCGGAAGTTTATACTTATTATGCCCCGGTTGGAAATCGCAAGGCGATTAAGGCGGGAGTAGAGTAAGTTGAGATTGGGGAAGGATGTTTGCCTTGAGTCTTGATCAAGTTGAGTTGTAAACGATGTTGCTATCGAAGCCCTGGTCGTTGTTCTAGTCTTCGTTGTTGTTGCAATATGTTTGCGTTTCTTCTTCAGAACCGCGAAAGTGTATGAAGGATGTATGAAGAACCAAAGAAAGATGCTAACAATAGTAGGGCCCGAGTACGCCTTTATAGATCGTTCAAAGGACGAAAAGGGCGGTTTCTCGAATATGGGCGGTGGCCGAAGAGGTGAGTGAACGAAACAACGGAGATGGCTATTTGCCTGATTAGGGTAATTACACGGCCAAAATGGGACTTTTCAGATGAAGAAGTTGAGGGGAGCTTTTATTCACTGCCTTGCCCGGTCTGACCTTGCTGGGCTGGGCTGAGCCGTCTCCGTCACAATTTTGAGGGCGAGGCGAGGCAAGGCGAGGAAATAAGGTCGGGTGGGTGGTTGGTGGTTGAGAGTGAATGACCGACCTGCCTGGTCCGCGTGACTACCTCACCCTACCAACCTATCTCCGTATACACCTCAAGACTCGAAAAGCCCCACAAGGCTCCAGCAGTCACTCGGCCTCTCTGTGATTCAGACAATTACCATGCCTTGTCTTTTCCTAGGTTTTTCCAAGGTTCGTGGTTTTCATGGGTTTTGACAACGGAGAAAGATCAAGTTGAATGGAACGGCTCCTTTCACGCAAAAACAATGTGTTGAAACTCCCCTCTATTTCGGGCATCAAACAAGCTAGACAAAGAGTTGATGTAGACAACATACTCTAATACACACAATAAAGAGGTTGAAATCCTTCAATACCTCTCTTGTTCTTTCGTTCTTTCCCACCTCAGTTGCAGATTTTGAGCATGGATCAACGAATATCTTGAGCCCCTCCCCTTCACTCCCCTTAAACCAACTGACCGACCTGATAAGATAGATCAAAAGGCGACCTAGGAGAAATTTGACTCTTTAATTTCTTGCCTTGTACTCGGCGATAATCTTGTCGATGCGTCGCTCAGCCTCCGGCGTCGTCTTTGGGTTATTTCGGGGATCGGAGCCGCTTCTTGGAAGTAACGGGTCCGGGAAATGCTCTGTTTTTTGGAAGTATTTTTGTAAGCTTAGCCCTCTCATCTCTTTCTCTTCTTGACTTGCTTCAACCATATCGTTAAGGTGGGTGCCATCAAATCACCTCACAACCCGGGGGGGGGGGGGGGGGAAGTTTGGAATTGAAGCGAACGAGATTCACTTACTGGGGTCGAATCTCTGGTCGAGAAGTTTCGCCTTGAAAGACTCGTACTCTTCTCTGAACTTCTTATTGTTCCAGCTGGGTGCGGCCGCTACCGCCGCCGAAGAAGCTTTGGGGTCATCTCGGATGCTTCCTCCAGCCTCGGAGCTGGGGGTCTGAAGCTTTGCGCCACCTGCTGCCATTGTATTTGCTGCTCAAGAAATTTCCTTCAACGTGGTGTAAACGCGGGTTGCTGAAAAGTGATGAGCTGTTTGTCCATGTATATCCTGGGGTTGGGTGTTTGTACCACCGCTCGGCTGTAGCTTGTGAACTCACCTTGGATCCCGACTGGGCAGTAACAGGATGTGCCAAGAACCGGCGGAGGGGGTTTCAGGAGATTATTGAGCAATGGCCTCAAGAGTTAGGAAGGAAGCATTGAAATGTGGGATCTTTTGCTAAATCCTGTTGAAGAAGCTAAAGTTGAGGTTATTCCGTCGCAGCTCTGCCTAAGCACCGCAGTGAGTGATAGAGTGGTAAGTCAGGTATGAGGTGAGATGGACATCGCTCGCCTGCCTCAAGCTGTCACCCGGGCCCAGCCAACCCCACCATTCCAAGGGTGTTTCCAAGATCCGATGCGCCTGCTGACCCCTGGGTGCCCCTCCACACAAGTCCGGAGAGAATACTTATGTAGTACGCAGTTTTTCGCCCAGATAGAGGCGAAAGTCAAAGTAAACATCATGTCCATGGCTCAGCTGAGGGGAGCTAAAAAAAAAAAAAAAAAAGCCGTAGCCGCCTCGGACGCCTCTGACCAAGGCACAACCGACAAGGGGTCTGTTAACCTCACTCATCTCATCCCACCTTTTTTCACCCTTCTACCTTTAACATCATTGTGAGCATCGACTTCACCACCCTTTGGACAACCTGCCATTTTTGGTTCTTGTGTGTTCACCTTTATCCTATCCACCCATCCAATGCTCCCACATTAGCCCGAGATCACCGCTCGCCTCGTCACGGTCACAGCACACCTCTCTCCTCCCTTTCAGGTCTCAGCTTCCTCAACCGATCGATCGCCCACCACCTTTTTGCAGGCAGGCCTCGACACCCTAGTGAAGCTTCACCCACCCCCACCATCACGGTCACGTTATCACAAACTTGGGTCGCTTCAGGAAACACCACCCGACAAGAAGCTGAAAAGATGGTCAAGAAGGGCGGCGCTTCTCTCGTCCCTGACGCCTGGGAGGATGATGACTGGGAGTCCGCAGCCGACAAGCTTGACGCCCAACCCACAGAGGTGCAGCCTGAACCACAGGTACCGATGACCAAGGCAGAGCGGCTCGCCCAGCATGCCGAGCAGAATCGAAAGCTTTGGGAATCAGCGTATGTCTTTTTACCCGGAGTTTTTTCACGTGCCCAAACTTTGGCCTTTTCTTTTACCTATTCCTTGTACTGCCAATGGCAATAATTGTCAATAGGGAAAAAAAGAAGAGGCAAGCAGCTAACACAAACTTCGACCTTCACTAGTGACTCCCCCACGCCCACACCAATGACCTTCCTCGAAGCCCAACCCTCAGTCCCCCTCGCCACGGGCTTCAAACCCCAGGTCAAAGTCCTGAGCCGAAAACCCGCGCCCCGAACAATCGCCCGGCGCGACCCCGTCACCGGCCTCCTCTCCCACCTCTCCCTCGCCGACGATGACGCCGACGATCAGCACGCCGAGAAGAAGCCGCAGCTCACGCCTGAGGAAATTCGCGCTAAGCAGCAGCGCGAGCTCGAGGAGAAGCAGCGGCGGTACGAGGAGGCGCGCGCAAAGATCTTTGGCGAGTCGAATCCTTCCTCTGGCGCTTCGAGCCCGAGTGGGACAGTCACGCCACCTAGAGGGGGAGGAGGAGGTACCGAGAACGAAAGAGGTGGAGGGCGCGGCCGTGGACGAGGACGGGGTCGTGGCGGCGGCGGCGGTGGTGGATACCGAGGGAACTCGAATCGACAAGACGACCTACGACGACCTGGTAGCAGTCGATCCGACGCCGTTCGCGCCGAGAGCGGTCGTGAGCTCTACGACCCCGGATACGCACCCCGAGGCGGCTTCGGGATGCAGAAGCGTGGGGGCGGCGACAGCCCAAACACGTACAACACGTACAACCCGCATTCTGGACGTTCAACCCCGAGAGACGTCGAGGACCAGCCCAAGCAGGCCATTCGAGCTCCACGCGGACCGGATGGGACTGGAAGAGGTGGATTCGGCTTCGCCAAGCGAGGCACAAAGGAAGGATGAAATTATTGCTATGCTAATTTGACTCTTCCCTTCCTTCACAGAGAGAGAAAGAAGAAACAAGCAAAAAAAGACTACCAGCCTCCACCAATCTTTCCCGCCAGCTGAACGACGCGCTCCGTGTCGCTGGCCTTGTCCTTGCCCACGTCGCTGACCACCTCGCGATACGTGGTGAGGGCCAGTCTACCCAAGTCTATGCCAGTGCAATCCGCCCAATGCGCCAGGGTATCTCGAATGTAAGAAGGCGAAATTCCGTCAACAACGTCGTCTGCTACTTGCAGACCGTCACCGTTTTGAGTAATACCATTGCTCTCCTCGCCGTCAGAGTCCTCTGCTGAAAAGTAGGCCTCGTCGACCTCGGCCAGGAAATCCTTCTGCTCCAGAGGGCCCGGCTTGCTCTCGTAACCCTTGCGCTCCACGACGATCGGGTCGTCCACCTTGATCTGCCCACCGCCGTTGGTGCAGCCGCCGGGGCAGGCCATGACCTCGACGTAGGCGTACTCGAGCCCGGCAGACTTCCCTGTAGGTCTCCTAGCGGCGCCAAACGCCTTGCCGCCGGGCATACGGGACGGCCGCGCCGGCTTCAGCTTGCGGACCAGGTTCTGGATATTGCGGAAGCCGTAGTACCGCGCAGCCTTGAAGATGGGGTCGCCCGTGGCGGAAGCGACGACGAACTCGACAACATCGGCGTTGCGGCCGCGGATGACTTGGATCTGGGAGTTGGGGTGCTTGGAGGCCACGGTCTGGAGGGTGAAGTAGAGGTTGCCGCCGGAGGAGCCAGCGGCCACGGAAGAGCGGTGGGCTCCACGGGCCGGGAAGAGGAACTTTTCCAACCTCGCGTCCGGGAACGGCGTACGTTGGAGAACACCGGCGGATGGCTTAGCCCGCGGTAGATTAAAGAAATTGAAACCCCTTGACTCGGCCAGCATGAGGACCTCCTTGCTCGTGATAACGCAGTCTACGTCGCGGACCCCTCTACCGGGCTTCCCGTCCCCGTCGGGACCCCACACCGAATCCGTCAGCTCCTCGCGACTAGCCTCGAGCTTCTTGTCGAAGCACGGCATGACGGCCAGATGCCAGATCCTGCTGGGCGGGATCCCTAGCTTCTTGCTCAGCGTCGTCTTGATGAGGGTGCCCATGAGCGCCTGGGGCGACTTCACGCGCGACAGGTGCGGGAGGACGTAGGGGTGCGTCTTTTCGGCGTAGCACACCCACCCAGGACACGAGGATGTGAGAATCGGCTTGGTCGCGGGGGTCCACGGTGATGGGGACGGCGAAGCGCCTGCTGCTGCTGCTGCTGCTGCTGCTGCTGCTGCTGCTGCTGCTGGACTACTGCCACCGCCCAGGACCTCATCCGCCCCGAGAACGAGACACGCCTCGCGCGCAACGTTGGTATCCAACACCCACGTGAACCCATTCCCATGCTTTCCCCCGCTGGCAAGACCTTGCTCGCCGCTGAAGAGCGCGTCCAGCATATACCCCGCCTGCCTCTCCGTCGTGCCATCCCCCGCAGCAGCAGCTAGACTCGCCCTCGTCTGCGGCGAGACGCTCGCCACGAAGAGCATCCTGCTCTCGTCCTCGAGCCCCTGGACGTGGAACTCGCCCGTGGTCGGGTCCGGGCCGACGATGCGGAGGGACGGGCCGAAGTCGAGGGTGTTGAGGACTTCGGTGTGGGATTGCATGCTCACGAGGACGGCTTCGGCGGAGGTGACGCAGCCTGAGCAGGCGAGGCAGTCCGTGAGGGAGATTTCGGCGGGGGGCGCATTGCTCGCTGCGGCGTTGGTGTTGGAGCCTGGTTGGCCGTCGAGGATGACTTCGTGTTCGAGGGAGGCGTCGAGGGGGGGTTGCGGGGGCGCGGAGGGGAGGGTTTCGATTGGTTTTATGCAGGCTACGCCTGGACTTATGAAGTCGTTCAGGTCGTCTGCGGAGAGGATTGCGCTCATATTGGAGGATTTTCTGGTCGTAGTGTCGTGAGGCGTAGAGGAGGTGAGGGAGGGAGGAAGAGTGGGAAGGGAAAGGAGGGGAGGCGGGATGTCGAAGATGGCGGGGCAATGCGATAGAGAAGTTGACGATAAGAAGTGTGAGTCGCAACGTAGCGGGGTGTGAGAGAGAGACGCGAGAACACAAGCCGTTCGTCCAAGTATGAGTATGAAAACGATGGGAGAGAGCCTATCTTGTTTGTGGACGACCTGTGGTTCCTCCTTGTGTCCCGCGAGGCCGGAGATGCGCAAACCGAGTGGTGGATGGGAATTAATCGTTGATTGCAAATCCATCCCCCACCACTGGGTTTTTTTTTCGCAGAGTCAACACTGCTGACAGTGCAGGCGCGCCTAGGCTTTGCGAAATCGGCATCCACTCAGTGGCGGGATGGGAAAAGTGGACAGGGACCTGGGCGCCCCTCGCGGCATCGGCCCCTGAGGACCTGACAGGATTACAGGGGGCATTGCAGCTGGCCGACGCAGGCCGTCAAGTGGTAATCGGAACTATGGAAGCCATGGCGGGCAAGGGACGCGGTGCCGGGGGCCCGTCCAATGACGTCGGTTCGTCGTAGCTCTCTCTTCCCTGAGCTCAACCTTGAAGTCACCTCATTCCACGCGAGGCAACGCTCTACGAAGCTTCATTAATACAGCAACGCAAGCTCTTACAGCAGTAATTCGTAGTCTTCAACTCTTCAATTCCACCTAGATCACTCTTCATACAAAACTCGAAAACTGCTCACCGTATCACTCAATGGACGTAAGCCATCTTCCATCCACCATGCTCGTCTCATAGAAATCCTCGCTGACATATAGCCCTACCACGAACCAATAGGCGATATCAACCTTCAGCTTCGGAAACCTGGGCTGGCTCGCGACCCAGGCCGTCCCGCTCATCATATGGCCGCGCTTCATCACAAACCTCCTCCGCCCCGATGACTACCAGTACGCCGCAGGCTGTTAGTCTCTCCGTCGCCCCCATCCCACCCACCTCGTGTGAGTCCCCAAGAGTTGGCTGACTGACCAACATAACCTCCAGCTCTAGAAGACTACTTCGCCCGTTCCCTAGGCTTCGCCCTCCTGACCCTAGGCCTCCTCGTCGTGACTCTCTCAGGAGCAGTGCCCCTCGCATCAGAGGACCTAAGTACGATTCCCGTCATCCCCCCTCCGTCCCCTTGATGCCCGAACACCAAATCTCTTAGTCTATTCCCGGTTCACACAACTAACCTCCCAAACAGCACCCGCAGGAACAGTCTCCCCCTACGCAAACGCAGCTCTCATCCTCTCCTCCATCCACCACGCCTCGGCCGGCTTCTACTGCTACAGCAGATGGCTCCGAACGGGGCAGACGGCCTTTGCCCTCGGCTGCCTCGGCAGCGCCATCTTCGCCGTCTCGGGGCTATGGTGCCTCATGTTCGCCGGGGACAAGTCGCGACGCAGCAAGAAGCACGGCTACGACAAGGACACGAGCTCGTTCCCCTTTAAGAATACCGAGTCGTATAGATCCAAGAAGAAGGGTTTGTAAAGGGCAAACGGAAAAGCGAAAAGAGAGAGAGAAAGATTGTAGCTGTTGTAGATTGAGGGGATTGGCAGCCATCTGAATGCTGGTGAACACAGAATGGCGGCAAATTAGCAATAATGCTTTCCCTTGATAATGTTCAATGGGCCTTCACTGTCATCTTGTGGTTAAGGTAATACAAGAAAAAAGTCATCCTTCATACTTTGCGTTGCCAAAAAATACCTTTGTGAGATGGCATGTTCGGAGTCTTATGCAAGGTTAAACAGGCAAAGAAATGACCATGAGAAAAGCAGTCATAAGCTGCTTCTTGAAGTGCAAATTGAAACACACTCCCTAGTGTACATATACTCCATGCGCCTATTTCCCTGGTCGCCTTCCTCATGACTCCCGTCATGCACCAAAAGACGTCAAGTTGTGCTGTCCATACTCTCTGCTTCTTCTTAGTATGCTTTAGTAGGTGTCGTTTTACGTCCTCTTGCCAGACGCCCGCCTCCGTTTCCTGCTTCCCTTGATCTCATGACGGCCTTAACGAGGGTGCGCAACATTCTGCTTCTTCTTCTGCTATCTGTTGTTTTTGGCAAGTCGGAGTTGTATCGTTTCCTGTAAATTCCTCGGCGCCTCGACCGCTTCGAACGCACGCACACCGGTACCGTCCTTCCGGTGCGTTGTGATAAGGTGATAAAAAAGCATGAACCAGCCGCAAAAGATGCACAGAACTGGGGAGTCACCCATTCCCTAGGGGACTCCTTGATATTGCCGCCGGCCTAGGTCAATCTGTCCAACTAGAACTGGACGCCTGGGTTCCAGGACACCAAGCGCTGACCCTAACTAGCTGCCGCTACTTCAGTGGATTTAGCTCCATTCACCAGAGTCTCTTCGGCCTTGGAGGTTTCCTGGGAGTCTGCGCCTTCTCCGTTGGTGACTGTCTGGTTACCTTCTTGGCTCTCCAGCACGCCCGAAAGCTGGACATCTGCTGCGCCAGAAAGGACTGCCTGCCTGCGTTCATGCCAGTCGACCTCACTCTTGACAACCTGGGAGAAGAGAACCTCCTTCTCGCGCCACAGGTCCTTGTACTGCTTCTCCCAGTACTTGACCTCTTCCGCCAGCTTGACCGACTCCTCTTGCGCCCACTTGACTTGGAATCTACAGAGCTTGTATAGCCTCTCAAGGGGGATCTTGAGCTCTTCAGGAGTGAAGCCTTGATCTTCAGTCAAGGGAGTAAACAGGTCGGCAGAGAGCTCGTCGTCGTCAGCTCCGTCATCGATGGCATCATCGTGTCCCGCAGCGTGTGATTGAGGAGTCTTGATGATGATTTTGAGCTTTCCCTTTCCCGTGGGGCCTGCTTGCATAGACTTGGGGACAGGATCGGAGGGACGCAAGGCCTCTGTCTCGTGGACGGTCCGCATGTGCTTGGCGAGAGCATCTGATCTCGTAAATGATCTATCGCATTCTGTCTTCAAGTTAGCCAGTGTGCCCCAAGGCTCTGCAAAGGATGGTCACAAACCTGGTAGATAACAGTAGAAAGGCTTCTCCCTGGTATGGCTTCGCATGTGGGCTTTCAATGCGTAACCGCTAGCATGCCCCATGCTCTTTCTACTGCATCCGGTCCATTCGCACGTGTATTTCTTCTGCCGGCTTTCGATGTGATCGCTGTGAATATGCTCCACCAACTTGTCCATGTTGCCAAAATCACCCGCGTCGCAGCCTTCCCAGGCACAGGAAGTTACCTGCTCCTGGAAGTCTTCCTCGTCCAGTTTGGCGTTGATGGGAGAGCTGGGAATGTCGCCAGACGTGTCCGAAGACACGTCCGACATGCCCTCCAAGGGATCCGGCTCGGGTACGGCTTCTGGTTCGGGTTCCGCGACCACCGCGGGAGACGTTGTCGAGGCTGCGCCTAGCTTCTGGCGCTTCGAGGGACGCAGGAGCGACTCATCCTCATAATCGTGGACCTCCTCCTCCTCGGAGGTATCGTTGTGGTCCGAGGTGAGGGGTGAGTCGGGCGGTGTTGAGTCTCCACGAGCCATGTTGGGCCGTTGAATGATGGAAACCTAGCACTTTGAAAGAGGCAGCGATGAAAGGCTGTGGATTGTTCGGTGATCAAGCGTAAGAATTATCGCTGCGAGAGGAGAAGAGATCGGAGATCAATATAATGAAAAACAAGCTATGCGCTGCTATCGTAGATGGGGTGATGAATTAATTGGGAGTAGCCAGCGGGATGCAGGTCAATCGCTAGAAAAATCACATCGGCCTCGTTCCTGACAACTTTAATGATGTTTGCGCCTGGGCTCAATCCTCAGGGTGTCGCGACGAGCAGCGCGGCTCACGGAGCTCATCTTGTGGGTCCACTTACCAAACCAACTCTGCCAGGTGTCAGGGGTACCCTCAGAGGGCAGCCAGTGGGAGCCAGCTGTCAGCGTAAATGACGGCAATCGCCTCCTAGCCAGTCGGTGCCTGGCACCCTGTGACCACAACCAGGCACACAGAGGCAAGCCGCACACAGGCACCCACCCGGGCTCACCCCCTGCAACTGTGACTCGGGGGGTCTTGTGGAAAACAAAATAAAGTGACTTTGTTTAACCCCTCCCCCACCATAAACATCCCCGACATACACTCATTTTGCGCCTTCGCTGCCACCTTGCTCCCAGCCTTTTCAACACTCCTTGCTTATCAACAAATCTATCATGGCGACCACGCCCAAGGTGTTCTCTCTTGAGGGAAAGGGTCTCAAGCTCGATACTGGCGCCGACCTCGAGCCCCACATCGCCGACTTGCGCTCGACCGACGTCGAAGAGGTCAGGTTCCTGGGAAACACCCTGGGAGTCGGTGCTTGCAAGCTCCTTGGTGAGGTCCTGGCCACCAAGAAGAACCTCCAGGTAGGCGAACAAGAGTTTCCAGCACACGTAGAACCATCTACTGACCAAAAGTGACTAGTCCGCCGACCTCTCCGACATCTTTACCGGCCGTCTCCTGAGCGAAATCCCTGAGGCCCTCTCCTCCCTCCTCACTTCTATTCTCAACCTCCCTAAGCTCACGACAATCAACCTGAACGACAATGCTTTCGGTATCAACACCCAGGCCCCGGTCGTTGCTTTCCTGGCTGCCCACGTGCCCCTCCAGCACCTTTACCTGAACAACAACGGCCTCGGCCCCCATGCTGGTATTCTGGTGGCTAATGCGCTCTCTGAGTTGCACGCCAAGAAGGAGGCAGCGAGAAAGGAGGGCAAGGAGGTCCCATACCTCGAGACTGTCATTTGCGGTCGCAACCGTCTGGAGAACGGCAGCATGCAGGCCTGGGCCAAGGCCTACAGCCTTCACAACAAGATCAAGGAGATCAGGATGATCCAGAATGGTATTCGCCAGGAGGGAATCAGCCACCTTATTAGTGAGGGCTTGAAGACTGCGACCGAACTGCGCATCCTCGATCTCCAGGACAACACCTTCACCATTAACGGTGCCAAGGCCCTTGCCGGTGTCCTCCCCAACTTGACAAACCTGCAGGAGCTGGGTCTCAACGATGCCTACCTCACGCCCAAGGGTACCAAGGTTGTCGCCAAGTCTCTTGCTAAGGGCAAGCAGGACAAGTTGGAGACACTTCGCCTGGCTTTCAACGACATCACCCCCAAGGCACTGGAGAGCATCGCCGGCGTTGTTACCGAGTCTCTGCCTGCCTTGAAGAAGGTTGAGCTCAACGGCAACAAGGTTGAGGAGGAGGACCCATCCATCATCGCCATCCGCGAGTTCCTCGAGGAGCGCAAGGAGAAGATTGGTGGCGATGTCGTTGATGAGGACGCTTGGGGACTTGACTGCCTGAGCGACCTCGAGGGAGAGGACTCTGACGAGGAGGAGGAAGAGGAATCCGAGGAGGAAGAGGAGCTGGATGCCGAGAAGGAAGCCGAGATCCTTACCAAGGAGGCTGAGGAGGCCCAGGAGGAGCCCACCGTCCAGCTCAAGGACAAGGAGGTGGACGATCTGGCCAAGAAGCTGGCCAAGACGGAGATTTAAGAGATGTATGGAAGCATTTTCTTTGGTTTACAGGTTTAGATGATGGAACGCAAGAGGAATGACCCCCCATTATACAGGAGTGAGGAGACAGAGACGATACCCCCCAAAATTACACTTCATCCCAAACAGTCTTGACCGCGATTATTACATGCAGATTGTCATCTGACCGGCAGGAGTCCGATGCAAAAATATCTACATCATTCTCCTGGGCATTTAGGCTTGTCGCAGTACGGGTGGTGTGTCCGGGGTAGCACTAATCCCGATCGTCACTCCACGGTCACCCCACGAAGCCGGCATCCACGGCGATGCCAGATCACAAGATCAACGAAATGGAATCGCGTGAGCTTGAAGGGCAGTATATAGCATGCAAAAGACTGTCCCTTTAGATTGATAGTTGTAACGACGGAATGATTTCACGAATAACTCGGGTAACAAATATACCTTGACGAACAAATACACTGCACAGAAAGAATTCACCCCCTACCCATCTGAAGCCAGCAATCATGGACTACCTCTTCAAAACCACAGACTCGGTCATTGAGATCCTATGGGACGTCGCGCTCGCCTTCTTCATCGTTCGCATCGCATTATCGTACTTCTTCTTCACCTTTACCGCAACAACGCTGCTCTCATGGATCGTCCATACATATCGCCAATACTTACGACTGTCCCTCGTCTCCGATCAGCAGCAGCAGTATCTCACAACCTCACAGAGCGACCCTTTCGTCTTGGCGGTGATGCTTCTACAAATCGTGGTAGGCCTCGTCGTTGCGCGGTACGTGGTGGCGGTCTACGACGTGCCGCGCGTGGCGTGGTTCCGGCTTGCGATCGGAGGTCTGGCGGCGGCGTTCTTGGCCGGCGCGGAGGGGCTACTCGGGTTGATTATATCTGTGTATTTACACAAAGGAGGGGAGGACGGAAGGGATCTATGGGTTTGGGAGAGTGGGGATGGATGGGCGTTGGTCGCGACGATGTTTGGCGGGTTGGTTGCCTTTGCGGCGATGCCTGCAGTGTTAATGTGGCTCGAGAGGGCCGAGAAGGCTCCGGCTCCTGCTGGAAGGGCTGAGGGGAGGGAGAAGATGGGGACGCAGGGGCTTGGTGGCAAGGGAGTTTGAGGATGGGGAATTCCAAGCCAGGGAGTCAAAAGTCGGAGAAGCCCTGGCTATGAGGAATATCGAAACCGGGATGCCGGCGTTGCAATGGATTTGTGTTCACGTCAAGAAAAGGGAGTCTTATTGTCTACCGTTTTGGAAAGCGAGACATGGCTGGATAAGAATAATCAGGGGAAAAGGGTTTTTGTTGGAGTCTTTGGTGGCCCTGCGTGTAAGTTTGAGTCTTGAGTCTTAAAGATATTCACCATGAGGGCATTGTGGTTGGTTCGTCTGGGGTTGGAGTTGAAATTACAATATATCCCAAATTTATTACCTTTGCTTCAGCCTTGAGGTCGTCGTCACTGAGACTGTAGGACTAGACTATTGGATACTTGATTCTTTTGGATCGATCAAGGATAAAATGAAGAAGAGCCTCCGAGAACCGGTAGAAAGTCAGGTATGTCAGCCGAGACATTGTTCTCAGAGGCGGCGCAGCGTTTGTGGGCTGTCAGCCATGTATTGGCGTGTAGGCCAGGGCGGGTCAAATTTTTAATCTCTGGAATGTTACGGCCTTCCTACTTAAGCTATCCTCCGGGAAGGTTTTACGCCCTCGTGGCGTTTGGCCTGCCCTTGGAACCTGCTTGCTTGGATTTGTGGAGAGCTACAATGGTGCTCTGGAAAATCTCCAAAACATGAATGAAAAATCATCAGGATACAGTCGCAACGGAACCGGTAGAAGGAAAAAGCATTCGATTCTGAGAACCTACGAGGTTGAGGTGGGATCGGATGGCAGCTGTCAGCGGGCAAGGTACATCGGGCGCTCCCGCTGTGGTGTCGCTGGAAAAGTGGCAGGGTTTCCATTCTTCAGCGTGGCCACCTCCCCGGGAAAAGCGGGGGCATATCCGGAACCCCCAGGTTACGGATACATCTGCCGTCTGCACCTGTCCGACTACCACCGTACCATATTCTCTACCCAACCTTGCATACTCACTCATCTTTTCTAGCAGCACTTGAACAGCCTCCGATCTGCCAGTGACAGAGACACCTTTTCATATTCAAAGGCATCACAAGTGACTAGCGCTTATCAACAGGCTCACAGAAAGGATTCTGTCCAATGCTTGGGATATGATCTATTGGACTGGGCAAATATCTCTGAAACTCCAATCAAGCGCTTCTGTTGGCAGTTGTGTTCAGTTTTGAAGTCTCATCGAAGAATCATTAACACGATCAAAGTTGATTTGGGAAGAAAGAAACCTTGCTCCAGTCACATTATCTCCTGTCCTGTCTCCAGCCAGACGAGTGAACCAGAGTTGGTAAACGTTGATGGGCGTCTTTCCGGGAAACGTGTGCCGGAAGTCTCATATTCCCTTTGCCTTTTTTCTTTTCCAGCCCATGTTGCAGATGTTCCCTGGCTGGGGCCCTGTGGCCCTGGAGGAGATCCAGAACTTCGGGGTGGAGGTTTCTCATTCCTACACGTGGTAGTCGACTGCGATGTCAAGGGGGGCTGCTCACAAGGCCACTCCACCACCACCACCTTCTCCTCCCCCCATTCCAATGCCTCCAATACTGCTTTCTAGCATCACTTGGAAAGGTCTTGGAGGTTGGTGAAACTCGCACCACCAGACTCTACTCATTCCTCGTCATGAAGCATCCACGCAATACCCCTCCATCGTCGGGAACCACTCTCCCACTCTCTCTGGATAGTCAACGCGGAAGTCTTGAGAAGGGGAAAGGGAGGCTCAGGTAGCACGACCATAACCCAGAAACAATAAGAAGAGCCGTCCATCTTCGCACCAATCCGTCCAGACTTTGCTCCTCCCTTTTCCCCTGTCGATCAAGCAAGGTAAATCCAGCCTTCTCCATTCACAGAAAGCTGAAGCAGTCTCGCCCACCATGGTCGGATCATCCCTCCTCCTACCTCTCCTCGCCGTCCTGGCCTCCATGGCCGGCGCGGTACCAGTAAATGAGCGCCGCTCCGTCCGCCCGACGTGCGGAAAGCCGGGCACGGTGGTGTCCACCACCCAAGTCACGATACCCACCTCTCAAGCGGCGACAGCAGCTCCCACGAGTCCGCCCGCGGTGTCTCTTCCTTCACCCATCACCGTATCCTCCTCCTTTGTCACTTCTCGTCTCGCCTCGTCGACTTCGGCGGGGGTACCTGGCGTTTCCTCGTCGTCGGTGAGAACGTCGGCGGCGGCCTCCTCAGCTTCTGCTGCGCCGTCTTCTCTATCAACTGTGCGAGTGTCCAGCACGGGCACCGCCTCTCCGCCTGCCACCGGCACAGGAACCCCGGCATCGGGATACAGGAATGTCTTGTACTTCACAAATTGGTACGTTAAATGAAAACCCTTACATCTGTAACGGGACCCCAGACGTCCTCCGTGCTAACTTCTGCTTCAGGGGCGTCTATGGGGCGAACTACCAACCAGCAGACATTCCAGCAGACAAGGTGACGCACTTACTCTACTCCTTTGCGGATATCCAAACAGACGGCACGGTGTAAGTTGATCCCAAAATACCAAGGTAGAAAGTTTGCAAGAAGTAGGGAAAAGGCTGACGAAAAGAAATTCAGAGTCTCGTCAGACCCCTATTCAGACACGCAACGCCAGTACTCTGGCGACGACAACCAAGCAGGTAACGCCTATGGCTGCGTCAAGCAGCTCTACGCCCTCAAGAAGCAGAACCGCCAGCTCAAGCTCGTCCTCTCCATCGGCGGCTGGACCTGGTCCAGCAAGTTCCCCGCCGTGGCCGCCTCGGACACGGCTCGTAAGCAGTTTGCTTCCTCTGCGATCAAGCTCATGATTGACTGGGGATTCGACGGGTAAGAAGAACCAAATACACGCAGAGACTCACATACACTTGTGCATGCCTTGCGCTAACAAAACCCCCCATTTCGCAGTCTCGATATTGACTGGGAATACCCAGCCAGCGACACGGAAGCCACAAACTTCGTCGCCCTCCTCAAGGAAGTACGCTCCCAGCTCGACGCCTACGCCGCGGCCAACGCACCGGGCTATCACTTCGCCCTCACAATTGCCTGCCCCGCGGGTCCCTCGCACTACAAACAGATGAACCTCCGCGGCATGGACCCCTACGTCGACGCCTGGCACCTCATGGCCTACGACTACGCCGGCTCCTGGGACACCACGACGGGCCACCAGGCCAACCTCTACCAGAATCCGTCCAACCCGACGGCGACAAAGTTCGACACCCAGACCGCGCTGGCGTACTACCTCTCCCAGGGCATCGCCTCCAACAAGGTCGTCCTCGGCCTGCCGCTGTACGGCCGCTCCTTTGAGAACACGGCCAACGGCGTCGGCCTGCCGTACTCGGGCGTCGGGACGGGCTCCATCGAGCCGGGCGTGTGGCACTACAAGGTCCTTCCCAAGGCCGGCGCCGTCGAGGTGTACGACTCGACGGCGGGTGCACTGTACAGCTACGATAGTTCCACAAAGGAGCTCATCAGCTACGACAACCCGGCGAGCGCGGGCGTCAAGGCCCAGTATCTACTCGACAATAAGCTCGGCGGCGCCGTCTTCTGGGAAGCCGCTGGTGACCGCAAGGGCGAGGGCAGCCTGGTGGGTGTGTTGGCGAGCAAGATGGGCAAGCTTGATTCGAACCAGAACTTGTTGAGCTACCCCAACAGTCAGTATGCCAACATTAAGAGCAACCTAGCGTAAAAGAGGGGCTCTGGTTAGGTGCAAGTTATTTGTGCTTTCTTTCAATTTTGCTTTTGGGCAGGTCATTAGAGGCGTTGGTATGCGCTATGCTGCATTTCTTGACGGGATATGACTTGTAATGAAGTCTTGGGACACGGGCTTTTAGCGATGCATATGAGATACGGCCGAATGAAGCCAATGAATTAGACGGCAGCATTCAAGTTTCGCCGAGTTACCAAAGAGGACTTTGCTTGTAATGACTGGTCCAACATTCAGTGGACTATTCTGTATTGGAAACTGACCAAAGTCACCGTTGAGTAGCCACAGCATTCACGTAGAAACCAACCTACCTCTTTGATCAGTTCAGCTCCCTCAAGAACATGGGCGACAGCTGAGGTTGCTGAAACTAGTAAAGAACTTAGTGGGACTTTTGTGATGCAGCTCAACGGGCGCACAAAAGAAGAAACAACAGCGGAAGTATGCCGAACGGTCGAGCACTACGGAACGGGAGAGTATTGTCGTCGGACCCGAACGCTCTATCCACAACTGCCGACAGCCCTGGCTCAAGGCTCCAGTGCAAAGGTCGAGTGGACTACCAACGCCGTACGTTTTACGACGACTGCATGGCGATCGCCCGCGAGGAGCTTCCAGGGGCTTGGCTCAGCGCTTCGGCAGGAGCCGAGGACTGTATGAGTTTAGTGCTGACGGGAGGGGGCGAATAATCGGTGATTTGGGACTCGACCGGGTCGCTGTAAAGGGGTTAGTTGGGCCCCAAGGACCGCCCACTGGCTCGATCCAATGGCCTAGACTTTGTTCTTGGTTCTCCATTCGAGCCTTGTAGGGTGCGGTGGAAGTTTGAATAGACTTCTGTGCTCAGTTAGATTGTCGAACCGAATTACTGGCCTTGTCGTCCAACCAATTGTCAAGGTCTTGGTCCAACGTGAGGTTCCCAAAGGAAAGACTCGTCCCACCGAGCAAAGGCTCCAAAGTGGAAGCGACCCCTCACCGATGGAGGCCGGGGAGGCTGCCGAGGCTGGCCGATAGATGAGCCGTTAATCCCAGAACAGTCTGTGGGAAACTGCCGACCTGGAGATGGGATGACGATGTTGATGGGTGGCCGTCGTCACGATGGAACTCGACTTCAGATGGTTTTGCGTTCTTCGGCGATGAGTCGCTGACAAATCGAGGAAGAGAGGGTAAATTGGATGTCGGAATACGACTGGTACTCGGCGATAGAGTCTCAGGTTCTCCTAATGGTAACGGTCCATGGAGTGATTATAGGTTGGGCACATGTGCCGTTTCGTCGACTAGATGAGTCACACGGCCAGCGACCGAGAAAAGGCGCACAAGAGTACCAATGGCACCCTTGTCGGCGTATGAAGAGGGGGAATTGGCGGTTGCGGAGGCAGCGGAGCACCCGAGAAGATCGGCAGAGGAGTTGGTTATCATGTTTAGGCTACCGTGTATTCGTATGTGCTTGAATGCCTGTGTAATTGGTGCAGGTCAGACTAGCTGCTGGGCATAAGCATTCGACATGAAGTTGAGGTTGTCTGGTTTATTGGTGTTGGTCGAACACCCAGAGCAGCAGCCAATATTGGATCGGAGCGATAAGCCTGGGGAATTGGGGGGACTTGAGGTTGACGTCAAATGGAAAGGATTCCTATTGGAGGGTTACATTGCTATACGGGGCTATTCATCAAGTGGGGTGTTCTTTCTTTGACTCCAAGCCTCCAAGCCACCCCGCTTTCGTCATCAGCTCAGCTGGCGGACCGTGAGCCATGTATCCGTACCTTACCTTCCATGCCCGCCTTTTTCTCCGCCAGTTCCAGCTCTTGATTGAGCGCAATATTGCAATATTTTGGCCCAGGCTTGCTTCCATCTTTTGTGCGCGGGGTGATGGAGACAATGATGTTGCTTAGTGACTGTCCATCTCTTCATGACTCGAACCTTTTGCAGATAACCTACCTACAGTAAGGTCAGGACTGCGTGAGTACCTAATGTCTCGTCCCATATCTCTTGCGTGTAAGCCGTTTATACGCAACAAGAATAATACCGATGATGATCCGGCCGACGTCCAAGTCACTGGGCCATGGTAAGCCGGTTAGAAACATCGTGCATGACCTTGCACTATTCCGCATACCTCATAAGCTTTCGCAGAATGACTCTTGCGCTGTACTGAATCTCTAACATAGCAACGTCAACCAAGGTTTCCAGACCAAGGACTGGATGGCCGTCGCTGACAGCGGTCCACTCTTAATTCCGTTAAGTCCGTCGCAGGTCCAGAATGCGGTTTTGAGCCGCTAGCACTCAAAGTTATTCAGGGTTCCATCCCAGCCAAGAAGTTGCTGGAGACTTCCGGCACCAAGCTTGGGGACTGGGTTTATCTTTTTACATTGATGCTGAAGTGCGCTTCGGGTTCCCTATCTGCTTATGGAGTATCGTACCCATATGCAGGTATACAATGCAGCTCGGATAGAAGCATGTAAGACACATGTTCCTAACGTCTTTAGACCTAGAACGTGTGGGCAGCAGGGAGGGGTATGAACGCTACCCGAATTATCCATCGCCCAATCTTTTGGGGTGAGCGTGTATCCGAATAAACTATGAGATATGCGAGTGTCGGCAACCCACCACAACTCGAGAGTTCAGGACTCGCCAGGTGTGCTATGCCACCCTTGTCTGCGTTGCATCTTAGCGCCATCTGGACAGGGTTAGCTGTGAGTAGGCATCAATACACGCGTATGTAAGCCGTCCTGATCAGCAGAACCTCCAATGCGGCTACATTGCGGGACGAGAGGAGGGGAGCATGTAGGAAGTGGAAGGAAAGAGGAGGGAGACGAAGGAACATTGAGGTGGTGGCGGGTCTCTCTCAGGTCTTTCCCTTCACCCCCTTACGTACCTATCCACCCCTGCCTGTCGTTCGCTGATCATGCTGATGGCGGCCTGCGGGTGCTGTTCATGATTTTGTCGAATCTTTCGACTGCGATAGTATCCGTAGCAATCTCAACTCTTCCCCTCCATCCTCTCTCTTGCTTGACCTTTGCTCACCCACCCCGCAAGTCGCGCAGCTGCTGCAGACGTTACACGGCAATCTCTCGACTTGGACTTTTCTCAATTCGTGGCTTGGTCATTATTCCATTTCTTCCTTCGCGCAGAGTCTAGTACAGGGCAAAAGTACCCCCAAAAGTGGTGAGTCTTGACTTGCTTGGGCAGTCAGGTTGTGTGGTCGCGGACCACTCGAATCCTTCCCTTGCCCCAACCCGAACCACCAAAAGCTGACGCCGCCGCCAAAGACGCGATCGCAACCTTCCGACACCTCGCCTTTCTTTCGCCATCTTGTCGTCGCGCTGACTTGCGCTACCGCTTTCCGACACTTGCCACAAACACCTGCGGCATATCGAGTCTACCCTTGCATTGCGCCCGCATCCTAACTTTGGTGCCTCGACACCGACCCTATCTTGAGACCCCTGCGCATTGCGGAACCTCCCACCGACTACCATCTCCAATTGCTCCTTACCTTGTATCCGTACACGGGTCGACCGATCCGACCTACGATTGCCGTTGCCTGTCAGAACCTGTGGCAAGATTGCGCTTTTACTGTGGCGCCTTATCACACTGCGACATCGTCAGCAGCCTCGACGTCTAGCTGCCTTGCGCCCTTCGCTCTCTGCGAAGTAACGAGCTTCCCAAGCAGTCACTGACCTTTGAGGCGGAATCACGGTCATTGGTCTCATTCCAAGACTTCGGACTGTGACCAACGAAATTCGAGTAGCGCATCTTTGAAGGCCGGACGGTCACATTACTTGCGCTTCATACACTTGGCCGGGCCTTGCTGAAGTACTCGGCCACTACACCAACCTGCCGAGACCGCTCCTCCAGGGTTAGGCTGCCGACGGTCTGGCCGTTGTCAACGTTTCAGTGGCTAAATTTGTACACTCGTCCTGAGTGTCTGACAGCCAACTTGTCGAGCCCTTTACTCTTGCCTTGCCGTATAAGGGATCTTTGTCGGCCAGTGCCATCACTGGTTCCGAAGCGAAGAGTATACACCTGCGTGTGTTGTGCTAGATAGGACCTCGAGTCCGGAGCACGTTTTCATATCCGTGGAAGCCATCGCCAGAGGTCTTTTACGACGCATCTACCTGTTCCACGGATTCCATTGCCATCATGACTCCCACACCACCATCCACGACGCCCTCCTCGGGATCAGGTCGGTCACCTGAGGAGCAGTTTCGAGTCGTGAGGAAGAGGAATAGGGTACCTCTCAGCTGCTATCCGTGTCGGACTAGGAAGTGAGTGCCAGATAAATGCCCCATATCGACTCAACTCGCTAACTTGCTTCACAGATTGTGAGAAAAGATTCACGGCCCGTCACACCAACGCAGACTGACCGATTTGTAGGAAATGTGACAGAGGTCACCCGTGCAGTAATTGTGTAAAGCGTGAGGGTGGTGATGCGTCCTCATGTTCCTACGCTACTCCTGCTACTCGTAAAAAGAACCAAAGTCAAGGCTCTTCGAGCCCCGATGACATGCAGAACCGTATTGACCGTTTAGAAGGCCTAGTTTTGTCTTTGATGCACGGAGGTGCTACTATTGACCCTTCTACCGCAGCAGCAGCGGCCGCCGTGACAGGCGCCTCGACAACCAAGTCGAATACTGACAGCACACCTACCTCGGCCAAAATCGATCCCGACGACGAGACACAAATGCGAGATGACGATGAAGACAGTGATCCTGATGGCGAGCTAGCGACATCTTTAGGCGTATTGAAGGTCGACTCAGATAAGGGCAAGTCAATGTACATTGGCCAGGAGCATTGGCATACGATATTGGCGGACATATCCGAAGTCAAGACATATTTTGCGAATCACAAGAAGGATTTGGAAAAGAGCTATGAAAAGGTCATGATGTCGAAACCGGCCAGCGCCAGAGAAGGACCTACGTTTTTGCTTGGAGCCGCGCCAGCTACCGAGATCGAACTGCGAGCGGAATTACCACCCAAATCGGCCGTCCTTGCGCTCT